TGGGTGGATGGATGCATGGATAGATGGATGGGTGGGTGAGTGGGTGGGTTAGTGGATGGGAGGGTGGGTAGACGGAAAGATGGGTGGCTGATGGATGGATGGATAGAGGGGTAGGTAGACTGTTGGATGGGTGAGTAAATAGATGAGTCTCTTCAAAGGTCAAACAGGTTTTATAAAACAGGCTGAGACCCAAGGCCTGTTCTATTTCCCATCTTGACCATACCCAAAGACACGCACACTTCTGTTTTTACCCATTCTCTCCATTCCCTGCTGCCCAAGCCTCTCCAAAATCCTTTCCAATATGAGCTATAAATGAGGGCAGACACCTTCCTACACTGAAGGATAAGTGCCACCCCCTACCCACAGGATGGCAGGCCCTCCAGCAGCTCACCGCAGTGCCTCTCGTCGGAGCCGTCGAGGCAATCCTCCCTGCCATCACACACCTGCGCCTGTTCCACGCAGCCCAGCACCTCACAGGGCATCTGGCCGGGGCCACACCGCACAGGTGGGAAGGGCCCTGGGGCGACGCTCTGGCCTGTGGGCACCACCACAGCTGGCTGACCAGTCATTTGGCCTGCCCTATCCTTTCTCCTTCATCACCTCCCTGAAGCCCCCAACCTCCCTCCTCTTGGCATCTGCTATTCCTCACTCTGCCTATCTTGGGATAATAGAAAAAGGGTAAACTGGGCTAGGACACTTGGGTCCTCCCCAAAATGACCTTGAGCTGTGTGATCTTGAACAAAGGGCCTCTGTCCCCCTCACAAGGAAGGTGGGCTCACAGAGGCTTTGCACACAGGTAGAAGGGCTTGGTGTCTTACCAGCAGGGGTCGCTGGAGTCACTGGGCGTGGGGGCAGCACCGTCACAGCTGCCATACCTGGTGGCAGGGTCCTAGCCTCCATCTGGGATATGGGGGTGGTGGTCACCATCTGCATGGATTCCCCATGGTGAGGTACCCCAGAGGCTGGGCCAGGACTCACGGGCCTTGTCTCTGTGGGTGGAGGTGGAGGGAGGTGAGGCTTACCCAGCTCCCCTTCCCAGGAAAGGAAGATGGGGGCCCTTGAGAGGGTATCCCAGGCTTCTGGGTGGTGCAAAGTAATCACAGGTACTGCGGACCACACCCCACCTTCTGAGAGGCCTCGGATCAAAAAAATCCAAGGAGCACAAGAAGGGCTTTGGCTGAAAGTAGAAGACTTGTTTTGATCTGAGATTTTTATTCTATTCCCCAAAAAGAAACACATGGCAACTTCCAAGTTCAAACTCACCATAAAATAAGATATTTAGGGAGAGAAAGAACTGAGGTCATTTTAACACAGCAGCAGAGGGAGTAAACACTACCATAGACTCAGGGTGAGTTCGTTGTTTCTGTTGTAAACAAACAAACAACAACAAACTGATTTTGGGCTTCCTGGCAGCTACAGTGAAAAGAGTTAAGAGTCTCATTTTCTGGAAAGAGATGCATTCAAAGACAGCCTTTTTTTTTTTTTTTTTTTTTTAGAACCAGACTGAGAATGAAATTAGAATGTATCCCGTGGGTCTGCATGTCATGGATCTGAGGGGTAGAATCAATTGCTTTGTCTGCTTTTCACAAAAGACACAGAAACAGTCCGGCCAGGTTCTGAATAACTTCCATCAGAACTCACAGGGAGGGGCCACAGTTGTCTATAAGGCCGTCTAGTGTCACAGATGGGGAAAAGCTGAGGCCCAGGCAGGTGGCACGGTGAGGCCCAGGCAGGTGGCACGGTGAGGCACAGGGGAGGATGAGCCAGAATGAAAGAGCAGCCCCGGCGCCCTCACCCTCCTTCCTCTCCAGCCCCTGCTGCCCCAAGCCCCACCCAGGTCCTTCCCATAGGGGCTAGAAATGAGGGCAGGAACTCCCCCACACCAAAAGCCCTCTTACCGCCCCCCATCCCCGCAGGACAGCAGGCCCTCCAGGAGGCAACTGTCTGCTGGCTAGCAGGGAGGTGAATAATCAGGTAGCTCCAAGGAGGCCAGTTCACAACCAGGCAGAGCCCTTTCCTTTCTTATACAGGAGCACGCCAACTTCATGACCACATCCAACCCCTGTGCCCACTTAAGAAATATTTGCTGCCAGCACATGCTTCAGAAAGGGGGGCCTGGCTCTATGGATGGTGAGCAGAGGGAGTGCAGGGTGCAGTCAAGTGGCCTCCCACCCCCATGGGGGTGACATGTCCTGACCAGGCATCTGGGGAGGCAGCCACATTACTGGGGACAGGCTCCGTCCTGGGAGCTGGCCTGGAGCCACCCGCCCTGCCTACCTGCAGCCCACATACCTTGGAATCCCAGGGGGTGGGCAGGGGCAGGACCTGGTCATGTCCAAAGTGACCAGTGTCTCCTCCCTGAGCCAACCCTGTGACTCTCTCGGTTGTGGGGAAGTCAGGGGTAAGGGGATTTGAACCCCTGAGATGTAACTGCCCCTGGCTCTGGAAGAACAGGTGGGACAAGGGTTTGGGGGGGTCTGGAGTCTGTGCACACACCTGTTGGGGACGTGGGGGACTCCTGTCCGGGAGGCCAGTGCTCAGTCTCTGCCAGGCCCTGCAGAGGGAGAGGGCTGAGCACCCTGCACAGCCCCAGGCCCTGAGGGCAGCTCCCATCCCCTGAGGATACAGCCTGGGCGCTCATAGTCCCAGCACTGCTTCCTGTCCATCTTCTTCCCCCACAGCCCAGGGCAGAGCTGAGGATGCAACTGCGCTTCCAGGCACCAGCCCACTGCCCTCAAGGAGCTCAGGGACTGTATTCTCAGCAGCCCACCATGGTGATCCATTTCAGCTCTTGCCCCTCAAACTCCCCTTCCCCCATCCAATGCACATGTCCCCCCCACTCCACCCACACACTCTGTGTTCCTGACCAGGCTATTCCAGGTAGGAAGATGCTCCGCGCCTTCTTCTCCACACTACAGACACCCCTCTCCAGCCCTCAAGTCTTGTCCCGGAAGCCCCTGGGGACCCGGGCACAGGGCTCTTTTCGGCTCTGAGCACCAGATGCCCTGGTGCCTGCCCCGTGGGCATAAGCTCCCTATCAGAGGTTCAGGCTTCTCTTGTCCCCAAACCCTTCTGGGCCCTCGCTCTGCCTGCACATCTCTGCATCTCTGTGTTGCCCCAGCCCTCAGCCCTCTGCCAGGCACCGGGAAGCCTCCTGAGAGCAGTACCAGGGAACACACAGGAGGAAATGCTGCGGAGAGGGGAGATGCCGCCGGCTGGTGCAGGAGCAGGGCTGGTGAGGCCTTGAGGCAAGGTCCCTGTACCCTCACTCCACCCTCTGGGCCCAAGGCTCCACACTCACCTCCCTGGGCCAGTGCAGCAGCTGTCCCGGCTGAGCGGAGGAGAGGGCCAGGGTCTTGGCTGTGGAATGGAATCTGGGGAGAAAAATAGCCAAAAGGGCTCCAGGGGCCCTGCCAGCACCAGTGCCCTGCTTCCAGGCAGGGGCATCAGTGTGCTTTTGCTGGGCCTGGGGTCTTTGCTGGGGTGGGCATCCAGGAAGGACTCTGCCCACTGAGGCTGGACAAAGGTGATGTTCCCAACAGTAGCTTCCAACTTGACCGTGGGTTAGAATCACCTGAGGGGCTTGTAAGACACACATTACTGCGCCCCACCCCTGCAGGTCTGGGCGGGCCCGAGAATCTGCCCTTCTAACAAGTTCCAGGTGCTACCAATGCTGCTGGTCCAGGGCCCACACCTGGAGAACCCCTGCATCAACTATGAGAAAGGCAGGGAATCCTAGAATCCAGGTGGTAAAGGGCCTTGAAGGCACCCAGCTGCAGCTCCTCAGCATGCAGGCTCTGGGCACCTGGCGGGTGAAGGCAGCGTCGGGCCCCTCCCACATGGCTGTCCCCTCGAAGGCCAGGCCAAGGGCGTGAGCTGCACACAGCCGGCCACAGTATACCTGCCAGTGCCCTCAGGCAGCAGCACACAGCCCTCCTCGTCCGAGCCATCCTTACAGTCCAGAACACCGTCGCACAGGCGCCCTCTCAGGGCACACTCACCACTGGCACAGCGGAGTCCAACCCCTGGGCACAGAGGTGCCGGTGGGGACCCTGTGTGGAGGACGTATGGCTGAGGGCTCCTCCCATGGCCCCTCTCTCTCCTGCCCTGCCACCCGGGTGCGACCTGTACCTGGCTCACAGCCCAGCAGCTCCACCCGCAGGGCGACATCGCTGTGGTGGGCATCGCGGGGCCACACCCTGACAAACCTCGCCTGCACCATCTGGCCAAAAGTCCATACGGCAGGGTCCAGGTCGTCCCAGTGTCTGGGGAAAAGCTGCCGGCAGAGGATGCTGCTGACTGAGCTTCACCTCTTTCTCAGGCTGACCTCATGACTTTGAGTGACCCCACTTTTTCCTCAGTTTTCACGGCCATCCCAGAGCCATGTCCCCCACCCTGGCAGTAGGAATTGGGCTCTCAAGGCTGGACGGAGCTGGTCCTGGACTGAGCTCCTCCTGCTGAGCTGGAGGTGCCCCTAGGGCAAAGGCCAGGTCCTGTTCGCTGCTGTGTCCCCAGGGCCTGGCTCGGCACCTGGCACAGAGCAGGTGCTCCTGAAACAGCTAAGACTTAACACATAGCATGGACTGATTCCCACCGCTTCGTGCGGTTTGTCTCCGGGAAGGATGCAAACCCCCTGAGGGGAGGGCTGTGCCCAGGCTGCTCTCCACAAAGACCTGCGTGGGTCTGGGCTCCCAGAAGCCCTCAGTGAACTTGGTGTCTCCCCACCCTCTCTCCCTTGTAGGTTTCACATACCTGCCCTGAGTCTGAGCCACTTGGATGGTTTCCAGCATCCATGTGACAGTGGCACCCAGCTCAGTGGAGCCTCAGCTCCACAGAGCACAGTCCCTGCTACTCACCAGGTATTCAACAAGCATCGAATGCAGGCCATGCCCCTCAGGGAGACTGGAAGGCCCTTGGGGACAAAGACTATGGAACCCACAAAAGGGCATGGTGGGCCGCTGGCCCCATCAGCCTTGGGCGGGTGGTACCTTGGGCAGGGGCAAGATGCCAGGCAGGATGTCATGATAGTCATGCCAGCGTAGACCATTGCTGCTGAACTGGAGTGAGAAGCTGGTGGCAGACGCGTTGGAAGAGCCAGTCTCTGGCACTATGATGCCTGGGGAGGGAGGGGCCAGGGTAAGAGCAGAGGTCAGAGCTGAAGGAGCTACACCTGCCCCCTCACCCATCATCACTGCTTCCCCTCAAGCACTGCCCTCCTCACTGACCAGTGAGGTTCCGGGGCTGAAGCAGGTCCAGCTGCAGGTAATGGGGCCAAGTGTGCCACTTGGCATAAGCATGCCCTCCAGCGCGCCATCCGTGAGGCCTGGGCTCCTGGGTGGGAGCCCCCATGAGGACAGCCTGGGTGGGGTGTTCCAGCTGCTGGGACGATGCATGCAGACTCCCCTCGGCCAGTCCTGCCAGCCCCAGGGGAGAATAGCAGGGGTCTGGGTGCAGAAGAGAGAGACAGGCTGGAGTAGGGTTGGACAGAGGGTGGCAGGAGTCTTCAGGGACACGGTGAGGAAGTTGCACAGGGAGCTAGGGGATGTGAAAGGCTCACACGGGTGACTTCGGCCCAGGGAGGGAAGAGTCAAGAGAGGCAACTTAAGATAGGATGACTCCCAGATCCTTAGGATGACCATCCACTACGTGCAGGGCAAGGAGGATGTCCCCGAGGGCCTGTTTCCCCTCCCAGATCGGACAATCCCTGGGCAGCGCGGCCCCTCTCAGCACTACACGGCACTGCACACATCCCTTACCTCCTGGTGGAGGCAGAATGTAAGTGGCCAAAGGGAATCCGATCTGGGGACTGGGAGCCGGAGCTGCAGCAGGAGTGGCCATGGGCTGGACTGTCTGGTTCTCTCCTATGGGAGGAGACTTCAGGATCAGGAGACAGAGACCAAGAGGCTCACAGTTCCTGGCCCAGCACTCAGGCCTCTCCCCACTTCTTGAGCACGTTCTCCCTGCTGACTTCCCAGGAACAACTTCCTAGCTGGGAAAGGTCCCTCCTCCTTCCCTTGGTGTGAATCGGGTGCTTTCACGTCCACTGAGTATTTAGAGAACATAGAGTAAAACTGCCAGCCTGAAACTATTTTCAGCCCAGGACCCAGCAACTGCAGTTCCTAACCCAGGGGTGCTGACACCAAAAAGTCACCTTCATGGGCATTAGAAAGGGGTTGCCTCTGGATGAAAGCAGCTCTGTGGGCTGGAGTGTAGGCCCCAATCACCAGCTAACTTGCACAGTGAACAACCTGTGCAACTGAGTATGCTGGCTCTGTTTTAACCTCAGCAACTTGTGGATGCACTTTTAGGATAAGAAAGCTGCAGCCTGACCAATATGGCAAAACTCTGTCTCTACTAAAAATACAACAATTAGCTGGGCATGGTGGTGCATGTCTAAACCCAGCTACTCGGGAGGCTGAGGCATGAGAATCACTTGAAGCCAGGAGGCAGAGGTTGCAGTGAGCCGAGATCGCACCACTACACTCCAGCCTGGGTGTCAGAGTGAGACCCTGTCTCAAAAAAAAAAAAAAAAGAAAGAAAGAAACCTGGACCCATAAATGCATCCATTTCAAGCCTTTGTATTTTCTTATTTCATTTATAACTCATTTCTAGGCAAAGATACTTTTGAAAAGTCCGACTTAACTTTGTCTTGGCTGTTCTAAGATGGAAAGAAAAGCAACCAGAGCAACCAGATCTGAACAGAACCAGAGGAAAGAGAACACCTCAAAGGTGACACCATGGGGGAGGCAGAAAGCCCCCAGAGCACAGGAAGGCAAGGCGGATGGAGAGGGAGGGCAGAGAGAACCCTTCCCACCCTGAGGTCCCCTCCTTCCCTTGGCATGCAGAACGCAGGCTTCCCGCCACCCTGAGGCTGGGGTATCCAGCCACCTCCGCTCAATGCCCCGGTTCCCTCTCAGTGATCCCACCAATTGTCCTCCCCCGGGGCTTCCTTGTCATTTCCCAGGCACACTCACCAGGTGGGGCACAGTGGCAGCATGATTCTCCCGTTCCCTCCACCAAGACCCAGCCCTGCAGAGGCACAGAGGTCAGGCCGCCTGCCTATCTCCAACCCACTCCACCAGCCTCCACACCCCTCCAGCTCTGCCCACCACACACTCCAATGCCTTCACCTGGGGGCAGCTGCCGAGCGGGCAGTAGGGTGAGCAGCGTGCGGTGAGGTTGTGCAGACACTGGCACACACTGCAGGGGCCCCCACGCCAGCGTTCCCCGACACGGTGGACCTGGCCCTGGTGCTCACACCCCTCACAGGGCTCCGTCTGGCACCTGAGAAGGGAGGGATATCCCTGACCTAGTGACGGGGCTTGCTCGGGGTAAACAACTCTCCTGGTTTGCCTGGATTGAGGACATTCCTGGGACTTGGGACTTCCTGTGATAAAACTGAGAAAGTCCTGGGAAAACAGACATTTGGTCACCCTATAAGCCCACTCTGCCTCTGCACCTGAGACATTGCAACTGGCCCAGAAGAAGGTCAGGGAAGCAATTTGTGCCAACACTGCAGCCAGCGCAGCAGGTCCCAGAGGGGGCTTGGGAGGCAGCTATGGCAATAGCCCCCTGCAAGCCTCAGCCCAGGAATTCAAGCTGAGTTTGTGAAGCTGCATCTGCGGGCTCCGTCTACCCACCTTCAAGACCTAGAAAGCATAAAACTAGAGAAGGGGGAGGCCAGCAGTCCCCAAAGAGGTTCTGGGATTCCCGGGGTTTAGACAGGTAGGGACACAGGGCAGGGGTTCCAAACTGGGGCTGTGTGGTAGATGTGGAAGGGGCACACAGGAAGCTTTCTAAGTGGGAGGTGGGGTACGGGTCAAGGTCCCTGCAGGTCCCCCAGTGGGTGGGGAACAGAGCACCTGCGTGCCTTGCGGTGGATGCCACGGCACTGGCGACCTCGGCCGGAGGGGCGGGGGTTGTTGGGGCTCCGGAAGGACCACTGGATGCTCTGACTTCCACAGGGGCCCAGACACTCAGCCCAGGGCGACCAGGAGGACCAGCCACAGTCCACTGAGGGAGGGCCAAGAGTCAGGGCCTGAAGGAGGTGGTGGATGCACAGCTGGGAGGTGGGCCTGAAGGAGGGTGGGTGCGCAGGGAGAGGACTAGGGACCCCGAGGGAAGGGCCTCACCAGCACAGTCCGGGTTGAGTCGGCAGCGTCGGGGCCGCCCGTCCTGGCAGATGCAGAGCCGGCAGTCGGCCTTGATGCGTTGCCCGGGCCAGTAGCGGGTGCCGTCCACCAAGCAGGGGCACTGCCGGGGCCACACACACCACCCCTCGCTGCCCAGCACCTGCCCTTCTGGGCACCAGCAGCCTAGAGGGGGCCCAGGATGAGGTTTCCATGCAGAGGGCTGTCGCCACAGACGCACACCCTGGAGCCAGCGCCTGGGCCCAGAGCCCCCTTACCTGGGCTGCCACAGGGCCGATCAGGTGGGCACATGACCTGGCCAGAGATGTCATCACAGGTCAGTGGGCAGGGGGCACAGGGCTGGAACATCAGCTCCCCAGAGCAGGTGGCATTGGGGCAGCTGTCCTGAGGGCAAGGCTCTGAGAGAAGCCGGAAGCAGAGGTCAGAGGTCAGGGAAGGGAGCTCTGCGGAGGTGACGGCCTCCCACCAGCAGTGCCATCCTCTCTTCCACTCACTGGTCTGATGGGTGCTGTGCGGGCCTCCGGGCAGTGCAGCGCAGGTGCGGCCCCCGTTCTGGGGTGGGTGGCACTGCCGTTGCCGTGTCATGGTGCCCCTGCATGGCTCAGAGCACACAGACCAGGGGGACCAGGCGCTCCATTCACCGTCCACTGCGAGGCAGGGGAACAGGGAAGGCAGGGGGGACCATGGGTGAGGGCTGAAGGCCTAGTGGCCTTCTTCTCCCTTCCTCTATCCAGGCCCCACCACCCCGGCCCCTCACCTGGGCAGGCTGCTGTGAAGCAGGTCTGAGACTGGTGCTCAGGCCCCGGGCAGTGCTGTAGCACCAGGAGGCCGAGTGGGGAGCAGCGGCGGCTCCGGCCCTGCCCCCCAGGCCCACATGTCCGGCTGCAAGGTCCCCACGGGCTCCAGGGGCCCCAGGCCCCACAACCCTGCTCTTCTGGAGAGGGGCCTGCCTGCCCTGACCCTCCACAGTCAGGTTGCCCATCGCACACCTGGGGAGGGAGTGGGGTCAGGGCTCCTGTGCTGGGGGCAACATGGCACTGCCGCCTCCACCACCCACTCCCACCCTCACCAGCTGGAAGCCTATGCAGGTGCCATTGGGGCAGGTGTATTCTGGGCAGGGAAGCCCTGTCCTGTTGGGGCCTCCTGGGGCTGGCAGCCCCCCTGGGAAAGAAGAGGAGAGAAAACACAGTGAGCAGGGGGTGTGAGCTGCGTCCCTGGCCCAGCTAGCAGGGCCTCCCTTAGGGAACAAAGCGTCCTCACCGCAGTCCAGCTCGTCCTCGCCCTGGGGACAGTCTGGGATCCCATCACAGAGCTGCTCAGGGGTTAGGCACAGCCCCAGAGCCACACCACAGGGAAAGAGGCCAGGGCACGGAGGCAGCTGGGTGGAGCCTGCGGGCACCATGAGATGTCCTGCTCCGCTCCTATCCCTTCCTGCCCTCTCCCTGCAGAGGGGCAGGAAGGTGGATGGGAGGCAGCAGGGCAGGCCAGCCTGGGAGGAGCTGGGGCCTGTGGACAGCTCCCTCTAGGGGGAGGTAGGCAAGACCTGAAAGGCTGGCTTGCAGTGACACAAAGCGTGTGCTCAGGTCTGGTGGGGAATCGCTGATGGCGGGACCCCTCCAAACAGACACACTCCCCAGCCCCGCAGAGCCTCTGCCCACCCTCTTATCCCTTCTTGGCCAAGTGTGGGCAAAGACAAAGCCCCTTTCTTCTCTCCCCTGGGCCTAGGTGGGAGGGCAAAAACATTTCAAATAAAGTTTCACGAAAAAGATCATAGGAACGCAAACACGGCCCAGCCTCGCATGCCCCCAAACCTAAATCGCTCTGGCTGCCGCGCCCACCTGTACCTCAGGAGGCGAAGGTGGGGGTGGCGCTCGGGAAGAGGTGGGCCAGCCGGCTTGGCCAGCGGGGGGCCGCGCACGGCCCGGGGGCGCGGGAGCCTCACCGCAGGCGTCGGGGCCCTCGTCCGAGCCGTCGGGACACTGCCGCACGCCGTCGCACAGCTGCTCGGGGGACACGCAGTGAGGACCGCGGGCGCAGGGCGCGTCGTGCGGCGCGCAGGGCTCTTCGCAGCCGCGCTCGTCGCTGCCGTCGGGGCAGTCCTCCTCCTGGTCGCAGCGCCAGCCCCGCGGGATGCACTCGCCGCTGCCGCACCGAAACTCGAAGGGGCCGCAGGGCGGCGCTGCGGGGAGCGTCCGCGCTGCATCCTCCGCCGGCGAGCGCCCTTCCCATCCCAACGGCACACAGGTCAGTCCTTCCACGCCGCCGCTCCCCTCCCTGCTCCAAGTCCCTTGGCCATTTCCTGGGCCTGGCCCTAACCCACCTGCAACCCGTTCCTGAGAACAATCCCTCCTGCATTTTGCTGCCCTGTTGGTTTTCCCAAAGCTCTCCCCTGGGTCAAGAATTTCCACGAGACTCCCTGCAGCTGGGAGGGAGGCCTTGAACGCCAGGAAAGAGTGTAGACTCTTTCAAACGCCATCCACTTCATTCACTCCAGTGTCTTCGGGAGTCTCCCACTGTGCCTTGCTCCTTCCCATGCCAGAGCAGCGCCACAAATGCCTCTCTCCGAGGTTTCCATGCCCCTCTCCCCCAGGCTTCTGGCCACTAGCTTTCCCACCTCTTCCCTCCAGGAGACTCACCAGGGCTAGCGCTGGCCAGGGAACTTGGCGCAGTGTCCAGGGAGCCAGGGGAGGGGCCAGGCAAAGTACCAGCAGGAGGCGTGGGCAGAGAAGGTAGGGGGCAGTGTCCCGGCCCCTCATCGGCTCCATCTGGGCAGTCCCAGACTCCGTCACACAGCTGGATGGCCCCCAGGCAGGTGCCATCAACACAGGACACCTCCCCGGGGACGCAGGTCACCTGCCCTGCAGCCAGAAAAGAAGAGCTGGCCCTGGGGCACTGCCCTGTACTGTTTGGGGTGCCCCAACTCACACACCCTGAGGACCAACTTCATAGCAGGAACCTGGCAAAGGAGGGAGGAGGCGAAGTCGGGGCTCTTGAGATGGGCCTTGCGGGAGGGAGTGCCGGGTGGGCTGGTTTCCAGGGTGGGGACAACTCACCCAGGCAGGACTCCTCATCTGCGGCGTCCAGACAGTCAGGATGCCCATCGCAGAGCAGGGCCGGGGGCAGGCAGCGTCCATCGGCACAGGCCAGCAAGCCCTGGGGGCACGGGCAGCCCCGCTCATCTGTGCCATCTCCACAGTCATCCTGGCCATCACAGAGCAGGGCCAGGGGCAGGCAGTGGCCGGAGCCGCAAGTCATCTGCCCCTCCCCACAGCCTGGGGCGGCACAACCTAGCACGGGGCAAGCAGGCAGGCTCAGGACGCTGCTGTAGGGGCCCAGAGAAGCCCTGAACCCCAGAAAGACCAGAACACCCTCTCTTCCCTTCATCCCTCCAAGCCACAGATAGTCCCTGGCAATGGGAGCAGCAGCTAAAGAAGCCACTCCAGGACAGCTGCCTTGGGCCCAGGAAACTCAGTTACACGTGCGAGGACTGACCAACCCTGTCGCTTCCACACACGAGCAAAGACACTCACCCTCCTCATCAGAGCCATCGCCACAGTCGTCCTGGTTGTCACAAAGCCACCCATGGGGCACGCAGTGCCCATTCTCTTGGCACAGGGCCTCTCCCTCTGCACAGCCAGGCACCGGCTCCTCACAGTGGCCACCGTCACCCCCACAACGCCATTGACCTTCCTGGCACGTGCTGAGCACACAGCATCCTGGGATCAGCCACAGGCTGGGCTTGGCCCAGTGCTCCTTCAATAGGTGTCCCCCAAGGTGACCTCCCCACTCACCAGTTCCTGCAGTCCTTCTGCAGCACAGACCCCGGCGGGAAGGAGTTGCTGCCCCACTCACAGGGGCAGGAAGCTGGCTCCAGGCAGGCTCCTCCTGAGGCCACAGAGTACAGGGCTCAGAGCAAAAGGGCACAGTGGCCCCTTCCCAGTCTCAGTGCCCCTCCCCTCTGCCCTTTGTCACTCTACACACCGTGCAGCAGAGTCCCCTCGGGGCAGAAGCAGCCCTCCACACAGGCCACCACCTGGCAGTGCCACCCGGGCTCAGGATGCTGCTCATGGCAGGTAGGGGGACACGTGGGGCCACAGGCCTCATACACCTGTCCCCCTTCACACTGCAGGGCTGGGAGGAGAAGAGAGAGCCTTGGATCACCGAGGCACAAGGGCAGCAGGATGCAACCACACCAGGCTGGCTGCCCAAGGTGACCACCATGGAGAGCACGGGGCATCTGGTGTAGACCTTGGGCAAGACCCCCCTGGGCCTATGTGTACCATGTCAGCTCTACTCAGCAGCCGTTCTTGCATACATGGCTCATCTAGAAAAGCGTCTGGCACAGAGTAAGCACTCAATGCACAGCTTGCCCTTGAATGAATGAACGGCCGTCTTGTGGGACAGGAGAAGCTCTTTCAAGACGCTGAGCCTGTGGCAGTGGCAGGATTGAGCACTGGGGACTGAGGGCAGGGCACACTCACGGCAGAGCTCCTGGCTACGCCAGCGCACATGGTACCCATGCCGGGCACACTCATCTGCGTAGGTGGCAATGGCCGAGCAGAGGCACTCACAGTCACCCCCTGAGTCGCAGCTGTGGGAGGAAGTATTCAGTCCCGGCACCCCCTCTGCACGCCCTGGCACCCCCACCTCGACCCCACTCCAGGTTGTCCCCTCCTTACCCGCAGGCGTCATGCAGGCACCACTCATAGTGCTGCTGCGGGGGGACCTCTGCGTGGCATGATGCGAAGAGGGGCTGCAGCAGCGCCCCGCAGCGGGCCCGAGCCCAGCCAGCCCGGTGTATGTTCACCTGCAGGCACAGGGTGGCGTCTCCAGCACAGTGGACTAGCGGACACCCTCCCCAGCCCTGCCTCCAGGAACCTCCCTTCCTGCTTTCCCACCCTCACTCACCACGCAGGGATGTGGCAGGTCTCCTGGCTCAGGGCAGAGGGTGCTGAGGCGCCAGGAGTGGGCGGCCAGTTCAGCTGTGGGCTCCAGGACGCCCTGGCGGCTCCGCAGATCATTACTGGCATCTCCATCAAAGTCACCACACAGCCCAGCCACGCGACCACGGAACTGAGGGGACAGTTGCACCAGGACCCGAGTCCCTGGTGGCAGGCAGCATGGTTAAAAGTGATGCCACAAGCCCTTATCTGGGCCAGAAGACCCAGGATCTGTTTTACCACCACCAGGTACCAACCCACCAGGAGGTGTGGTTACCTCTTTTGTGGGGGGATGATTGGCGATGATAAATGAAGAGACCTACATTTGGGGGGCTCAAGGTGGGAAGTAGGAGCCTATTTTCCTAACTAACACCAAGCCAAGGGCTGGGGGGAGGGAAATTCTCCATCAGGTCAGATTCCAGGAAACCACACTCCAGGATGGACTGTGAGACTCAGTAGCACCAGCCTCGGTGGCGGCAGGCTGGGAGGGCGGCCCAGCGGCTCAGAGCCAAGTCTATATGGGGGTTATCTGGGTTTCCGTCAGTTCTGCAGAAGCAGTTAGATATGACATATAAACCAACTGCTTATATGGGTGATGGGAAGTTAGGATATTTATTTTCATTTCGCCTTTCTAAAACTTGGTATTTTCTCAATGTTTCCCTTGGTGTGGAAGGATTGCTTTCATAATGATGAAAAAGATAATTATGAAAACCTAATTTTTAAAAAAAGTTTTTTTCTCGCTCTATTGCCCAGGCAGAGTGCAGAGGGGTGATCACAGCTCACTGCAGCCTCGACCTCCCAGGCTCAAGCAATCCTCCCATCTTAGCCTCCCAAGTAGCTGAGACTTCAGACGCGCACCACTGTGCCCGGCTAATTTTTGTGTTTTTTATAGACAGGGAGTCTTGCCATGTTCAACCCAGTCTGGTCCCGAAGCCCCGGACTCAAGAGATCTGCTCGCCTCAGCCTCCCAAAGTGCTGGGATTACAGTTATGAGCCACTGCACCTGGCAAAAAACCTAATTTGGGAACTCGGACCTCTTGCATGGACTGGAAGGTAGGGGTGGCACTGGGCTGGGCATGGGGCAGGGCGAGTGCCGGCCAGGCAGGGAGGTAAAGTGAGAGCTCAGGGTCCTAGCCTGGCTGTCGGCCTAGCTCTCAGCCTAGAAATCTGCCCTGTGGAGGTGTCAGGGGCTCAGTGGAGGGAGACCAGGAGGAGGGAGGGTCAAGCGTTGGGAGAAAGAACTTGGGGTGAGTCCAACCCTATAGTGCTAAGGTGGGGCACGGGTCTGATGGTTGAGGGAGGGCAGGGGCCTGACCTCCGTCCCAGAGCAGGGTGAGGCCCAGGCGGGTTGAGAGCAGCAGGAAGAGGCCAGCACGACGCAGGCTCAGCCCGGGGCCTGTGTAGACCTTGGGGGGCGTCACGCTCAGCCCATTCACTGTCACTGCCCGGCCTGTAGAGGAAGAGAGGCATTCAGGCCCTACTTGGAGGAGAGGGTCCTCCAGATCCTCATGAGGCTCTCTAGCTCCCCCACTGAGCCCTTCTTTTGCTTCTCTACCTATGTGACCTTGGGCACGTCATTAGACTTCTCTGGGACTTAATTTCTGGGAGCCTTCTGGTATTATGAGTCCCACCCAAGAGGAGAGGCACCAACCCCATGGCATGGAGGGCAGCCACGCCTGGTAAGGAGCCTGCCAGCAGTGGGCAGACACAGGGAACCCCATCCCCGCCCACCCTGCACAGCTGGGAAGCCATACAGGTGTGCCCCTCCCTGGCAATGTCACCCTTCAATGTTGCAGCCACCTCTGAGCATGTGCACAACAATGCCCTCCAGACGCACAGCCAGTGCTTTGGTGCAGGTGAGACCGCTGGCCCCACAGGGCAGGTTCTGGGCAGAGACTGTAAACAGGCCACCGGCCTCTCGCACCAGCAGATACTCGCAGGCCCCGGGAAAGGTGAAGGCCAGTCCATCAAATGTCACATAGTGGGGGGCGCCTGATGCCTGGCACCGCCCACTGCACCGCTGGCCTGTGCAGTGCCACTGCCGGCCCTGGCACACGCTATGGGCAAGGTGGGGGAGACAGAGTCACTGAGGACAGGGCCCTGGGGCTGGATCCAGGGGAGGCAGCTGGTCCAGGTTCCAGGCAGTTTCAGCAGCCCTCGGGGTGGAGGGGTCCTGCAAGGTCCTCTGGCCCAGGCCAGTCTGAATACCCCAGCCCCCACCACCCCAACCCCTTCTGGTGGAGGGAAGGATGATGTGTGGGGAGCCATGGGCCACAAGGCCAAAGGGTTAGAGGTCACGGCAGCTGCGCATACCAAACGTTGCAGTCTTCCTGGATGGTGGCGTTGGGCGGGTACCACTGCCCACTGTGACGGCAGGGACAGAGGTCAGGAGGCACACAGCGCTCGTCCTGGGCAGAGGGCAGGAACAAAAGGCACCATGTAGGGGCGTGAGGGGAGCAGGGCAGTGCCCTGGCTTAAGGAAGGCCATCCTGTTCTCCCACGCAGCTCCTTCTTGGACTCACCAGCAGCACCATGCCGGGCGGACAGACACAGCCATCAGCACTGCCTGCAGGGCAGGAGTGATTGGCGGTAGGGCTGTCACAGGTGAGGAGACAGGCACCAGGGGCATAGACAAGCTCCCTGGGGCAGAATGCCTGCTGTGGAGGGCAGCGGTGAGCTGTGCAATTCCAGAGGCCCCTTTCCTGGCAGACACTGCAGGAGGTTGAGAAGGAGTAAGAGGCAAGTCTAAGCCTCCAGGGACCTGATCTGACCTGGTGAGAATCTCAGGAACCCAGACGCTTGCTGGGTTCCCAGGTGTCCAGATCCCATCATGTTGAGTGAAAACCAGCCCTGATGCTGGAGACCTGTCCATCTCAGCTCCCAATACCCAGTCACCAACACAGGGAGCTGGACTGTTTCCAGCACCCTGACATGCCTGGGATAGACATTGTCACCCTTTCTGTCCCAGTTCCAACAGGGCCATCCTCCAGGCTCTGGAGCAGGACAGAGGTATTGAACCACCCTACTCCTAGCCCAGGTAGGAGAGGGGTTGCATTGAAGCCTGCATCCTCAGCCTCCACCTTTATCAACCCTGGATCCTGGTCCTGCCTGCACAGATCCATAATCTGCCTTCACTTCTCTTGAACAAGCTGTGTGACTCTGCAAACTCTTTAGTCTATCTGAGCCTCAGTTTCCTCATCTGCAAATGGGAACAATTTTTCCACTTCTTACTTTATTAGGTTATGGTAGGAAGTAAAACTAGATAAAATGATGCACAGGAAAGTGCTTTATGGACCCTAAAGTGCCCCATGACCAAGGGGAAGTGATCAGCACTCTGTCACCTCCAGCGTGCATGCTGCCACCAACAAGGCTGCACACTCCACCCATTATCTCCCAAGCTACCTCTTCATCCCCACATTCTTCCTCTTGCCCCAAAGGTTGCTGCCCTCACCAGCGGTTGCACTCCTTCATAGTGGCACTACCAGGGGCATAGCGACGGGCTCCGAGCTGGCAGGGGCACGAGCTGGGGGGCACACACTGGCCCTCAGGATCCCACAGCAGCCCCAGAGGACAGTTACAACTGGCCACACAGCTGCCCAGCTCCCCACAGTCCTCTGGCTCCCCGCAGTGTTGACCGCATGCTGGGGCACACTCTTGGTACTCCTGGCCACCAGGACACAGAACAGCTGGGCACAGGGACACACACAGGTCAGGGGCATAGCCACCGCTGGCTCTCTCCACCCCCTCTGAACCCCACACCCCACATCCCCTGTGCCTCTGCAGGAAGAAAAGCCCAGCAGTCTGCCAAGGGTAGTGATGCACCCCGGGCCCCCAGCCATTCCTGGAAGGGGGATAGGCTAGGGAGGAGGGGAGGAGCCTGGGTAGGGCTGGCTGGGCTGAGCGAACTCACGACAGAGGGTCTGGTTCCTCCAGGGAGGTGAGGCACCTTCCTGGGCACAGCGACGCGCATAGGCAGAGAGCACCGGGCACAGGCAGTCCCTGCCAGGGTCACAGCCACACACAGCTGCCAGGCAGCGCAGATAGAATGGCTCCCTGTCCACCAGCCTGTGGCATTCCTTGGGAGGAGATGGGGAAATGGGTCAACTTCTCCTCCATGGAGTCTACATCCCCTTGGTCCCCAATAGCACCCCTAGGCTTGTGTGGTCTTCCTTGACCCTCCTAAGAGCCCAGGCGGAGGGCAGGGAAGGTGTTGGCCCATCTTACGGATGTGGGAGGAGCCCAACCCAGCTACCTGGAAGACAGAGCTGTGCAGGATGGCACAAGCTGTCTCTGCGAAGGTGTGGCGCTGGGAGTGGGTGGTGCAGGGGGAGAGCGGGGCACTGTCCCCAGAGGGGCATCTTCCCTTGCCGGCCACCTGGAACTTGCTAGCAAAGGCAGCAATGCTAGTTTCCACATCTCCGGCTGGTGTCAGGAAGTCGTCCTGCTGGTTCTGGGTGAAGGTGCCACACAGACCCTGCACCTGGGCCACAGGCACGCGTGTAAGACAGCCGAATGCAGTCCCACCGCACCCTTGCTCAGCCACCCACCTGCCTCACTGGCACACCTGGTGGGCATGGCGGGGGTCCAGAGTGATGTAGGCTGCAGGGTCAGACAGTCCCCAGAGCACCTGGGCCCCAGGCCAGCGCAGCAGCAGGAAGGCAGAGGAAGTTCGGCGCACACTGAGGCCGTCAGCGCCAATCCAGGGCAAGCCCACATCCTGCCCATTGACCAGCACAGCTCCTGGAACAGGGGACCTGGTGATGGGGGTGGGGCACGTGGAAGGATAGGGCTTTGAGAAGGGAAGGAGCTTGGGTGGGAAGTAGGAGGTCCCGTGTCAGGGTGGGCTGCTGGGGACAACCAAAGTGTCCACCTGAGCCCCCTACCCCTGTGCCCCAAGGACTACCCTTGGCACACAGATTTTCCAATCCCTCACCCTCATGATCAGTGTGTGGGAGGAGCTAGATGGCGAGCCAGGAGCTGGTTGGGGAGGGTTGGAGGGACCCTGCTGAGAGTGGCCTGCCCGGTCTGGTCATGCCTCGAGGCCTTTCAAGCTCTCATAGCTGCATGACTTGTATTTGACCCCAGGACGGGGCAGAAGATGCCATGGAATCTCTCCTCAGGACTCTGTGTGTCTGTTTCAGAGATGAGAGGGCCAGGGAAGTTGAGGCAGTGTGCTCAGGTGCAGGACTCTGGGGAAGAGTGTCTGGACTCCAAAGCCATAGGGTAGTGTGGAGGGGGAGCAGTGACAGGAGGCCTGGGACTGCGCCAAGAGTGCAGAGCAGAGGCTACCTGAGTCCCTGAGCTGGATGTGGGTGTCCTCCAGGGAGAGAGAGATGGCGCGGAGGCAGCTCCCAGAGTCGCAGGCCCCATGCTCCAGTCGGATCAGTAGCTGTCCCTTCACATAGTCCTGGGGCGGGCAGGGGGAATTCAGTGGGGCTAGGCGGGCCGACTCTCTCTGGGGAGGCTTTTGGAGACCTTCCCTACAGACCACCTTCAGCACGCACCTGGAGGCAGCTGCTCACCTTCCGGCCAGCCAGACTGTCTGCCAGGTAAGGGGCTTCGTCCTCACCATGGGCCGGCATGCATGGATGTTTGTGTGTATGTGTGTGCAGGGCCATGGATGTGCACATAGGTGTCATGTGGAAGTATGTGTGTGCATGTTTGTGTGTGCGTGAGTGTGCGTAGGTTAAGTGCGTGTCCGCATGTTAGGGTGAGATGACTCGTCTCTTTCCTCCTCATGGGCATGTATGTTCTCCCATATGTGTGTGCATATGTACACACGTGCTAAACTACATGCATATATATGAGTGTGTGTCATGTGTATGTCTGTGTCTCTGTGTACCTGGATGCATGTATATGTGTGTGTGTGCATACAAGTCTCTGTGTGTTGGTGTGTAGCCTGTGTGTGTGTAAACATGCAGATCTCTGTGTTGGTTTGTAGCCTCTGTGTGTGTGTGTGTGTGTGTGTGTGTGTGTGTGTCTGCACATGCAGATTTCTGTGTGTTGCTGTGCAGCCTGTGTGTGTATGTACACACATGCATCTTTGACTGTGTTTGCTGGGGGAGATGGCTGTCCTCTTCCCTCCCCATGGGCAGGCACAGCCTCTCTGAGGACTGTGCTCCCAGGACCTCGTCACCCCCATCACTACTTATGAGCGGAGTGGGAATGGTCCAATAGTTCGATGGAGAGATCACTCAGGGGGCCCCAGATGATTGGGAAAATCGTGGCCTGCACCTGAACTTGAGAAGTGAGCTCACTTCATTGGGGGAGCTTTAGGGTGGGAGCAGGGCCTCTTATTTCCCCTGCATGAAGTAGCCTGTAACAAGCCCAGCGCGTCCCATCTGTGAGAGACACGACTGAAGATGGGTTTTGGTTAGTGGCCCTGGGCTGGGTGGTGATGACAGAGGGACTTTCACAGGGAAGCTGCGGAGGAGGCAAGAACCCAGCGGGAGGCCTGAAGGCCTGTGACAGCCATGCCCCCAGTGTTGGTTCTCCCTTGGCCTTTCCTGGGAAGACTCTGGGTTTCCCTTATTTATTTAGGGGTTTCCTTACAGTCAGCCCCACTGTGCCATTTAGGAGGGCCCCTACTCTGGCAGAGTGCCACCCCTGCAGACCGTCCTCTGCCCACCTGCACCAGGCTGTAGCGGCAACCTTGACCGCCCCGGAAGGAGTAGCTCCGCCCATCAAAGGTGAGGTAGTGCCCGTCCCCGCCCACGGCACACTCGGCGGGGCATAGGGCCTGGGCACAGTGCCAGCGGCCATCCCTGCACACGCTGTGGACACATAGATGAGACAATGAGCTCTGGCATCAGGTCCACACTGAGGGGGTGGAGATGACCCCTGAGCTGGAGGTGACCCCCCAAAAACCCTTGTTCCTCCCCTCCCATGGAAGCCCCTCCTGCTGAAGGGGTAGAGGTCAGCCGGCAAGGCCATCAGCCACGCCAGCAGCAGTCCCAGTCTCTGAGAGGAAGACCCAGAATGGGCTGGAGGCTTAGGGGAAGCAGGTTGAAGAGAGGATGTAAAGGGAGGGATCCGAGGGTACCACATGGCCACCAACCCCCAGCATGGCTCAAGGACCCACCAGGGGTTACACAGCTGGCGCACGGTGTCACGGGGTGCATAGCGCTGGCGGCGGTAGTAGCAGGGGCAGTGGGCGGCAGGCACACAGAGGGTGCCGTTCCAGAAGAGGCCTCGCGGGCATTCGCAGCCGCTCACACACTCTTCCCTGCAGGAATCCTCCTCTCCCTGACCCACCGCCTCGCAGCTGGGTGGGCAGAGGGAGGTGCAGTCGGAGTAGAGCTGGCCCCCGGGGCACAGGCGCTCTGTGGGCACATGAGTGAGCTGTAGTCCCCCGCCAGACCCCAGTCAATCCTGCTGGGTGGGGAGGCCCTCAGTCAATCCCACAGCGCAAGGAGGCCCAAGTAATACCGCAGAAGCCAGGTTTCCTCCAGCGAATGTGGATGTGCCGCCTGGCACAGGCCTGGGCATAGCTGGCAAAGGTGGCACACACAGCCTGCCGCTGCCCCTCTTGCCTGCTGCCAGCCATGGCCGCTGCGCAGTAGGCAAAGAGACAGGCCTCGTGGTACTCAGCAGGGGAGACCTGCAGGACAGGACGGCCCCTCAGCAAACAGCCAGCGCCTCCTGCCTCCTGCTTCCATCACTCCATGACTTATAACCAAGCGGATAGGCCCCAGAAGGGACCTCAGAGATCACACACATGAGCCGTCATTTCCCAGAAATAAAGCCGAGAATGGAGAGGTGGGGGTTTGACAGATGGTCCAAAGTAACCCACAGGCAGGGCCAGACCAGCTTACTGACACTTCTCTAGCACCCTCCCTTGGGTGCCAGACACCACCCCCACCCCACTCATACCTGGGCATGGCACTGCCCGAATGGACCTTCCAGCAGCTGATGGCACACGTCCTGGGCTTCAGCCCGCAGGTGGCCAGGTTCTACGTCTGCCTGTGTGAGCCCCAGGGGGCCGTCACAGCCCTGGGCCACCTCCACCGCATCCAGACACCCAGGCTGCAGACAAAGGACATCAGGCCAGGCAGCGTGATGAGGGACGTTAACCAGGACCCCAGAAAAATGCCTCCTGCTCTCACACAGCACCAGGGCCCCACCTTCAGGCCCACCGCCCACATCCTGGGGCTGGGGAGAGAGGCGAGGTGGCAGCCCCACACTGGGCCGTAGTGGTGGGAATAAATGACTGACTGGTTCACCGACACTGGCCTCAGATGGCTAGTTCACGGCAGGCAGCCAGGCTTTCTGTGGGACCCCAAGGCCTGCCCTCCGCCCCTGAGGATCTGGAAGAGGGCCAGGCCCTGTCCTAGGGAACAGGCCAGCGATGAAACCAGGACAAGGGCTTGGAGGTTCAGGAGTCAGGAGCCAAGCTGAAAAGCTGGGAATGGGCAGGCAACTGGGAGGGAGGAGCCCCAGTGGCAGCCTCACCTCCGAGTCAGGGAGCTTCCAGGAATTTCCGAAGGTGGCTGCTAACATGGCCAGTCCTCCGCCTGGCTCCATGAAGTCATCTGAGAAGGGGTGAGGCAGGGGTGCTGGGTCTAGGGCCTCTGGTCTTCCCTTCCCTGCTACCCCAGCAACCAACCACACCCCACTTACCCTCTGGTTGGCCATTGTAGAGCCCACAGAGGCCTTGTGTCTGTCCCCAGAGCTCGTGGTCCACAGAGATGGAGATGGAGCCAGCCCTGTCCAGCCGTACCACGACCCCCAGGCCCCCTGACAGCACCAGCCAGTCCCCTAGCCACTGCAGGCTCAGCCCTGGGCACAGAAAGAGGTCACTTGCCCCTTGCAGCCACAATTCTCACCCTTTCCACTACCACAGCAGGGCTCAGCTGCGCAGGGATGGAAAGGAGAAGGGAAATAACTCACACAATTCTCACATTCTAGAGGGCTCTGCACTTTATACCAAAAGTACATGCTTTACAGCAGAGTGATTGATTTCCATCACAGCTCTCTTTGAGGAGCTCATGAAAGCTGCAGATGCTCTCTGGAGAGAGTAAACTTCGAGTGAACTATGAAACACACGTGCATGTGCACACACACGCATGCACGCATACATGCACACACTGCACCCGTGCACACACAGGCATACATGCAAGAAGCTCACCCCCACCTCACCCTGCAGCCCAGCCAGGACAAAGGTCCTGTGAGGAGAGCTTCCCATTGCTTAGCACCAAAGTGCTACCTCACAGCACTCCTCTGAGGCTGGTGGGGAAACTGGGACTCAGGCAGTCAGGTAGAGGGACTTGTCTGAGCTGGTGCCGCAAGAGTTTGGTGGCGGTAGTTGCAGAGGGTCGGGACCAGGCCTGGTTCCTCCTGGCCCCTCACTAGCTCCGCACTTCAGTGCCTCCCAACAGCAATGGCTGGGGGCCCACCGTGGGCTCGTTCCCAAACTGCCCCCTGCTCCTTTTCTGACCCTGCCTGGAGGGTGGAGAGACTGTCCCAGAGGAGCACGTGGGGGCCCGGGCAGCCTCTTGCTCCCCCAGTGCTCTCACCGTGGAGCAGCCAAGACTGCCCTTCAGGTACCAGCTGCCCCTTCACAGACACATTTCCAGCCTGGATCAGCACCTCCTCAGGTCCCATCGTCACCTGGACCTTGGGGAGATGCATAGTGGAAAAGGGGGCCGGGGCTCTCTTCCTCCCCTGTCCAACCTCCTCCCTGTGGCTGCCCCATCTCTCTTCCTCACCAGCTGACAGTGTCCAGGCTGGGGACAGTGGTCCCCGGGTGTTAGGTGGACAGCCCAAGTGGAGTCCGCAGCACCTGCCAGCAGGTAGGTGCAGCGGCCCAAGAAGTGATAGTGGCGTCCATCAAAGGTGCGGTAGTGGAAACCCGACCAGGAGGCACAGGTGGCTGAGGGACGCTGGTGCTGGCTCCAGAGCTGGCCCACGGCCCCTGCCAGGGGCTGCAGGAGGGCTGGAGAAGAGGCACCACCTGGGAGAGACATACCAACTGTGAACCTCTGAGTATGAGGCAGAGGTGGAGGGCCAGGACACAGGGCTCCCGGCACAGCGGGAGGCAGGCAGACAGGGCATGGTCCCTCTAGTGGGCCAGGGAGCCAGTATGGGCCCTGTAGAAGGCCCAGCACAAGAACTCCACGTGGGAGTGCCTGGGGAGGCGGAAGGGGTGATGGCCAGGACTGTGCCTGTCTGGCAGGCTGGAGTCTGCAGACACACCTGGCAGGTGTCGGCTGGAGCAGCTGAGACAGGCTTGGGAGCTGCCATCCCGCCAGCTTCGTCCCCAGGGCCAGGCGCAGCACTCCTCCAGGCTTCCTGCTGAGGCATTAGCTGAGCCTGCCTGTAGCTGGCATTGCCACATGGCAAAGCAGTGGCCTCCAGGACTGGCTTTGGCAAGGGCTGCAGTAGGTAGGGAGAATGGGGCAGACCCAGGCAATGAAGATGGGGTAGCCTGGAGTTGTCAGCCCAGCCCTGGTTCTCTGCCCGAAACCACAAAGTTGAGCTAACATCCCCTGCCCAGGACTCCCAGAAGGTACCACTTCCCCAAACGCACTCAGGTGCTTACCCTCAGCGCAGTGGGCGCCCCCCCAGCCTGGGCAACAAGCCCTCACTGTCCGGTTCCGCTTGGCAGGCCGGGTTTCTGGAGGTCTGCGCCCACCGAGCCGGTGGAAACAGGGAAGAGATGTTAGCGTTCAGCCCAGTCCCACCCTGGGGAGGGCTGGGGACATTCAGTTTTGTCAGCTACTCTAATCACATCATTTCCCCTGGCCTTAATTTCTCCACATGCAAAGTGAGAATAATGTTGGGAGGGCAGACCACGGGGATTGGGGCGGGAGATAGAGGGAGTGGGTTTCGGGCCTCTCCCTGTCCTGCCCACCGTAGTGCTCACTCACCCCCCACCCTAATCTCACACACTCCAGCCTTCTCCAGGCCCACTCCAAACCTACTTCCCAAATCCCTGCTTTCTCCAGGGCCTCCCTACTCTTAGGATGTCCGGCCTGTCACTCCTTTCCGGCCCTGCAGACAGCCCAGGCTCTCACCCTTACTCACTTGTAGATAGGACAGAGCCCAGGCACTGGGGACCGGGTAAGCCCCGCGCGGACACTCCAGGGCAGGTCCAGCCGCCAGCCCAGACGGCTGTAATGGTCGAGGCTGGCACAGGGTACCAGGTCCTCCTGACGGGGTACTACTTCCTCCTCCACACGGATGGTCTCTGTCCACTCACACCACCGCCTGCCCGTGATGGGGAACCACAGCTGCCGCCACCACTCCCTCTGTCACCAAAAGCCCTGTCCTGTGACCCCACTCCCAGGGGTGGTTAACCAAGTAAGGAGGAGAGGATGCTAAGGCAGGGAGAGACACTCATGGGAAGTGGCAGGGGTGGAGGGAGGACCCCGGGGGTGGGGGGCATGGAGTCTGATGCTCCAGAGGGTCCCTGGGCATGTGGCGGAAGGAGGACCCTTGTCAGAGGGGTCCAGGGTGGGCTGCTTACCCATCAGCCAGGGCCCACACCATTCCAAAGAGGAGGGCAGGGAGCAGCATGGCGCCCTCACCCCCAGGGCACCTTTGGGGAACGTGAGGCTTGGGCTCAAGAGAGGCGATACTGCAGAGGGGGCACAGAGAGGCCAGCGGCGCTCTCTCCTGCCCCACGCGCCTCCCCACAGCCCAGTGGCCAGTCCTGGGGGCTGGGGAGGCTTTATTCCAGTCTCATGCCCCAGGGCACCAGCTGCCCACAACCGGATTGGACCTGCCACACCAGCCCCTCAGAGGCCAGCTCTCCCTGGAAACAGTCTCCTTCCTGTCCCCTCCCAGTGCATCTGTTTCCGTGTGTGTGTGTTCACACTCTCAGGCACTACCACAAATTAACATGGGGCTCTGGGCAAGCCACCCTCCCTTTCTGGGCCTCAATTTCCTTCCCAGTAAAAATTTCAGGGACTTCCCAGGGATGCACAGATAGGACTCAGACTCCAGTAATCTTTGAAATTGTATGTGCACATTTTTCTGAAGACAGTTCTATAACTTTTATTAGATTCTCAAGAGGGCCATGACCCCATGAAAAGGTTAAGAGCTCCTGGGCTAAATGACCGATGGGGTCTTCCAGCCTTGAACTTCTGCCTGGATGGTGCTCCCCTGCCTCCCGCCCCTCTCTTGCCCAAACTCAGGAGTAGGGGGCAGTGAGCGGGAGCGCTTCCAGGGTAGCTGGGGATCCTGAGTGTGTGGAGATGGGTGGGGAAAATGTAAGGGTTCAGTTTCTTATTGTGACCATAAGAATGATTATGTGTGGCTGGTTGGGCCCACCCTGTCTCCTTCTTGGAGGGTCTCCTAGAATCTCTGGGGTCTAGAACTGGGAAGCCTATGCTGAGGAATGAGAGGACCCTCTGGAAGGAGTGGGCAGGGGAGCCAGCTCCCCCAGCCCTGGGGTAGAGGGCTAAGCCGGATGAAATAATCCGAGAGTCCGGCTGGGAGGGGCAGTGACAGGCTCCACAGGGGAATCTGGGGTCCATCCTGGTCCCAGCAGAGCTCCAAGCACACCCGGACACCGGGGCTGGAATGCAGCCTGGCTCCAATTCCACGCCCCTCGGTCTCCTAAACCTGATATCCCTCCCAGCATCCTGTAGTCATTCCACCTGGGGGAGGAAGGCGGTTGCTGAGAACCAGAGCTGGGTGGAACTCTCCTCCTGGGTTCACCATTGGTCCCGGGGCCAAAAAAGGGCCCAGAGTGAGTCTCTTAGGGGGTCACGGATGGCTGGGATCAACTCCCGCTCTGGAGTCCTTAGAAAGGGCCACATGCACACCCAGTCACCCCCCTTTCCTGTTTTACACACATGCACACTCTCACCGTCAGTCTCACAACGCTGGCACAGGTGCTCGGCCACACCCCAGCACGCACAGTGACACATGCTGCTCCAGGGGCTCCCTTCACCCTGGAGGCAGAGGAGCCTTCACAGCTGAGCTCGAGGGATGGGCGCTCTTCCAGGCACTCATCCTTGTGGTGGGCTGTGGTAGCAGGAGCTCAAGGACCATTCACACCCTCCCCTTCCCACCCTCTTTCTCAGCTCTGGATTCAAACCGGGGCTGATCAGGCAGCACTGAGATTGGGAAGAGACCCGAGCTGGAGCCACCCTTTCCAGTAAAGGGGCAGGAGGGAGGAAGCTGGAACCCAAGGGAGTCTGGAGAAAGTTCATGGAGAGGAGACCGGGATCTAACAGTCCAGACTTCAGCACCTCCAGAGCTTTCAGGAGTGGGCGCAGTGGGAACGAGGCCGAGGAGAAACCTCGTAACCTGGGCAGGGAGGGCGAGTGGAGTCCCCTGAGGAGCTGGGGCTGAGGGCTGCCCTCCACATCTAACTCCAGGTGGTGTCTGGGCCAGCAGGCACCCCAGCAATCGTCTCCCGCCCATAGAGCCCTCCCCTCTCTGCAGCCCCCTCCCAGGCCCTCCCACGGACCCCGCCCTCAGAGTCTCCGCCCAGCCTCGTCCCAGCCTCGCCCCCTGGAGCTCCAGACCCGGCCCGGCCTTCTCCCAGGGGACTTGGCTTAAAGTCCTCTTCCCAGTTTCTACTTCGAAAGACCCGTTCTCGCAGGCACAGGGGCCCAGCCCTCTCTCCCGTCTGCCCCCACGGCTGGTTTCGAATCCGGTCCTCGGGACTCCGGGCGAGGGGCTGTGGGTCTGGGTGGATCCGGGCGGAATCCGGGTGGAGAACGGGGGCGGGGCCAGAGTTTCCCAGGCCGACCTCCCCGTGCCGTCCTCCCGCGGGAACGCGGCGCTGCACACCCGGCTGGCACTGGCGACTTAGAGACGGCAGTGCACGACTCGCTGGCTCCCCCCCGACACGCCCCCTCCTCGTTCCCCCAACTCCTCCTCGCCCACCCCACCCGTTGGCGCTCCACCTTTCCCCGTCTCCTCCCTCCGCGGCCGCGAGCACTCTCCCTCGGCACCCTTCCCCGCAGCCCGAGTGCCCTTCCTCCCCAGCCTCCTCCACCCGCTCTCCCATCACCCTCCCCACCCCTCCCCTCCCCCGTCCTGAGCTCCCACTTCCAGCACCTACTCCAGGCTCGGAGCCTTAAGACCATCACCTGCCCACCTAAGCCCGCAGTGATCCCTCCTGGGACCCCACTCCTAAAAACCCCTGCCCCTGCCTCCCCCAGCCCGGTGCGCCGAGTCTCTTCGCCCGCTCCGTCGGTCCCTCCTCCTTCGCGGGCGCCGTTTCCCGGCTCCAGCTCCCCGCGCGTCTATCCCTCTCCTCCCCGCGAAGTTTCGGGGCTGTCAGTCTGTCAGTCTTTCGGGCCGTCAGCACCCGAGCTGCAGGCGGCGAGCGCCATTGTGAGCAGAGCC